TACTGTGAGATCATGACCTAAGCCGATGTCAAGAGTCAGGACACTTAACCCACTGAGCCACCCAAGTGCCCCTGGTACTTTGTATCTTTTAAAGCATTTAGTATCACAACAACCCAAGATAGTAGATACTCATTTTACAGATGGGGAAACCAACATCAGGGAATGTGTCAAAGTTTACAGCTAGTAAGTGGCAGAGCCAGGATTCAAAAATGAGCAATTTAACTACATTAGATTGACTGCATTAATGGCATTAATTGTTCATATCTCTCTGTATCCACACCTTTTGCCATGTGACTTTGCAGTTCCTCTCATTAAAAGTAGACTGTATTCCCACATCCCTTGATTCTAGGTTCCACCATGTAACTTGGTTTGGCCAATGAGTTATTAGCAGATAGGACACATGCAGAGGCTTGAAAACAACTTGCTCCTCTGCCATGAACAAGAGAACATGCCTGGGTTAGCCTGGTGAAGGACACAAGAAACAGAGCCCAATTCAAGACAAATGAGTGAGCCCAGCCAAGGTCTCAAGACCTGCCTAGCCAACGCCCAACTTGAATGCAAATACATGAGTGAGCCCAGTGGAGACCAGCCACAGCCTGATTTGCTGAACTCCACAAACTTGTAAAATAACTAAATGTTTTTGTATACCACTGAGTTTTTGTGGTTGTTATATAGCATTTTTGCACCAGAAGTTAACCAATACATTCACTGGACTCTAGAGCCCATTCTAATAACTATTTATACTGCTTTTTCAAACTTTTGAGTTTTAGGTGACTGACATATGAGCATATATATTTGGCACAGAGTTTTGATCTTGGGGTTGAGAGTTTGAGCCCCACATTGTATGTAGAGATTGCTTTAAAAAAAAAAAAGTGATAGCTGAAAGCAAGGGAGTGAGTGAGCCCTCTAAATAGGGAGATATGCAGAGGAAGAAAATGGATAAAATGCAGCACCAGGCAAGTTTAAAGAAGGAAGTTTCAGGATATAATAGTGGCTGAGAAACAGTAATTGGATTCTCTAAATGGAAATTTACTTGTGACTTCTGAAAGAAGCATAGATTTTGAAGTAAGACACATCTGGGTTTGAATTCTGACACTTAGTTGTGTGTACTTGGGCATATTAATCTGTGCCAAACATTTGCATTAGTAGGAATTCAGCATTAGTAGTGATTAGTAGTAGCTGTGTTATCATTAAAATAGTCTTGAACAGTGGCCTGAGTTTTTTCCCCTAAAAAAATAGTTTCTTGGGGCACCTGGGTGGTTCAGTCGTTTAAGTGTCCAACTCTTCATTTTGGCCTAGGTCATGATCTCACAGTCCTGGGATTGAGACCCACACTGGACTCCACACTGGGTGTGGAGTTTGCTTAAGATTCTCTCTCTCCCTTGGGTGCCTGCATGATTCAGTCTGTTAAGCATCTGACTTCGGTTCAGGTCATGACTTCACAGTTTGTGAGTTCAAACTGTGTGCTACCACATCAGGCTCTGTGCTGACAACTCAGAGCCTGGAGCCTGCTTCACATTTTGTGTGTCTCTCTCTGCCTCTTCCCCCACTATGCTCACTCACACACACTCTCTCTCTCTCAAAAATAAATAAACATTAAAAAAAAAGATTCTCTCTCCCTCTCCTTCTGCTCCTCCTCTGTACATGCACTTTCCCTCTCAAAAAAAAAAAAAAAAAAAAAGAGAAAGAGTTTCTTACCTAATCCCCTTACATGCAATCCTTCAAAACGATAACAAGTATATTCAAACTTATCATCTTGGAGAGTTACAGGAGCAGCTTCAAAATACAGGGAAATTACCTCTTTCTGATATAATTAATCACACATAATCTTGCAAAGTTTGTTATAAAAATAGTAATGCTAATAATGAATGTGACTAATACTATCATCTGTTTCAAAAGAATTCATTGGGAGATATTATAAAATGGTGAATAAGCACTGGTATGAAGTTACATTGACTGGAGTTGGGAGTCCCCATCTGCCACTTCTTTGCTGTGTAACTTGGGGCAAGCCACTTGATCTAAGTCATAATGCTGTAATAAGGATTAAATATAAGTAAAGCACTTTAGTAAGGTGGCTGAAACATCATAAATATTCAATAAATGACAAGCACTATTAAAAACAAACCTTTTTTGACTATCTCTTAAATACCAAAATTACAATAAACTCTGGTGATTCAGAGTTGGATACAACATCATTAAATCTGTGAAGAGGATCATAATGTACGAGGAAGAAGAAATCTGAAAGCTAGATACATCTTTTTAAAAATTCAAATACATCTTAATGCTGATTAATTAAGCTCGCTGTTTCATTAAACATCAAAACTTTAAGTACTATACCAAATGACTTATTTTGCCTACCTGTGATTAAGAAATAACAGGAAGACATTAATATTAACAAACTTTATACCTTTCACATTAATATTCATCAAGTCAATTCAACACCCAAGTTACACATTTTAAAATCATTTTTATTGAACTAATTTTAACAACACTGTTTTAGCTGGTGGCAGTTGCCCCACACCAAAACAAACCATCATGAATGCTATTCAACATCCTCAAAGTAATCCAGTTTGTTTTTGTACTTGGAATATAGTTAAAGTTCTGACATCACATAATCAAGCAAATAGCAGTGCATACTATATTATCCAAAAAGACTTTATGCATTTCATTAAAAAAATCATTTTGCAAGTGTCTTTAGCTTTATCGACAATCTCATCAACACATTCCATACTTCATGCTCTCAAAATAAAAAGTGCCCTAAAACTAACTCTAAGTTTTTTACTAATATTAATGAATACTATCCAGGGTTACAGGAATTGAAGTTTAACCTTTTACAGTATAAGAGGCAATAAGTTACTGATAACTGCTGACACAAATTCCACTCAAACTAAATACATCCTTGATACATTCAAAAGGACATTTTGTAAATATTAATATGCTAGTTTATATGCTGCAGTGCAAAAGAAGTGACACCTTAACGTTTCCTGAGCTTTAGGAAATTACCATTTTTCTGACTACAACTTTCAATTTAAAATAGGCTCTTTATTATATGAAGCCATGTCAAAACTATACAATTAAATTAGGTTTCTGGAGAACTGAAATGATTGGTCAGAGTTATGGTATTTTAAGGTAATGAAAAAGTTTCCAAAGCAAAAGTATTTACAAAACTACAAAGGATACTATGGATTTGCATGTAGTATAAAGGTCAAAGATAACCTACTGATTACCAAATGATCACAATTATCCCTTCTCTTTCAAAAATATCACACTGAAAGACTTTACGGTAAGTTATCTAGCATTAAATATACCAACCTGTAGTATATCATACATTTTAACACATTCTTCCATAATGCCCAGTAAGAAGGAATAAGAGATAAAATATTAAAAATCAAGAAAATAAACATGTTTTTAGGAATGTTTTTGCATGTGTATGCGAGAGGAAATGAAAATGATTTCTCATTAGAACTTCCTATATCCTCAAAATTACAAGGACCGAGTTTCTACTTCAATTTTTTCTTCTGCTTGCAGACTATCAGGGTCAACATGAACGACTGGAGGTCGTAGGATAACTTCGGGCCCTCCACCATATATAGACTGTAGAAAATTCCATGTTTCTTCTGAAATCTGACCAGAATCTGCTCCTAAAATTAAGTACAAACAGAATAATATTTACAATCCTACATATTCATATTGCAAAAACATTCATAATGTACCCTACCCCCAGCACGAATACTCCAGGGATAACTGAGAACTTGTGGAACATGAATTTTCAGATTACCAGCCCATATTGTTATAAGCTGCAACATATGGTCTGTCTTAAGTACTCTTTCCTAGCTCATACAAAAGCCTTAAAACCTTTGCTCAAATAACAAACACTGGCAACTTTTAGGCAAGTATTTGTCCTACTTCATGTATGAATTATATCATTGAGCTGCATAAAAAATGTGGCACAGATGGCTAGTAATGATATATTCTTAATAGTGACAAATAGTTTAAATATTAGTCAAACTTACCTTGCCTGAGCATTACATTGCCACATTTAGTGACTGCAATTTTAGTGTTATCAATAGGACCTGGAGGATCTAAGTCAAAAGGAAAAACAAATGATCAAAATGCATACTTTTCAAAGGAATGCACCAAAGAATTACATATTTCTGTGCTTGAAATAGTTGAGGAATGTAACTATATAATCACACTGATTATTATAGTGAATTCTGAACTGTCTTCTGAGCTTCTTTTTGGGTCTTTTTGGTTCCCCCAAAACAAAACCAAGAAAGAAAGGGGGAGAGAGGCTCTCTCACTACCATCCAAAATCTCAATCTTAACTATCCATTTGAGGATCACAGGTTAAAATGCACTTTTAAAAAATAAATAAAGTAAAATAAAATTCACTTTTAATACTATAAAAGAACAATTCTTTTGTAATTTAAAAAGAAATCATGTAGGGGTGCCTGGGTGGCTCAGCTGGGTAAGCATCCAACTTGGGCTCAGGTCATGATCTCGAGGTTCGTGAGTTCGAGTCCTGGATTGGGCTCTGTGCTGACAGCTCAGAGCCTGGAACTTGCTTTGGATTCTGCGTCTCCCTGTCTCTCTGCCCCTCCCCTGCTCACGCTCTCTCTTTCTCTCAAAAATAAACATTAAAAAAATTATTTTTTAAAAAGAAATCATGTAATTCTTGATTTATTTCAGATTGTCATTATTTAAACTAAAAACATTACAAAAGCATTATAAAATGAAATGTTAAAATACATCCTTTTTTAATTTAAGGGAAAGACACCCATTTTCCCCTTGAATACAAAATATAAAAGGACAGTGCGTGTTCATTACTAAAATCTGAAGGGAAAAAAAAAGGCACAAGGAAGAAAAAATATTGTAATCCCATTACAGAGAGGTAAGCAGGTTTAATATCTGTGGGGTTTTTTGCCTTTGCATATGTTTGCCATTTTTTTAAATATAAAAGTTTCAGAGGATATATACAGTATTGCAACTTTTTTCATATATCAAGAACATCTTTTTACACATACTGTCACAAAAATTATTTTTAAATTTTTTATAATGTTTATTTATTTTGAGAGAAAGTGCATGCAAGTGGGGGAGGGGCAGAAAAAGAGGGAGAGAGAAGTCCCAAGCAGGCTCTGCGCCCTCAGCACACAGCCCAGTGTGGGGTTCAATTCCACAAACCATGAGATCATGACCTGAGCTGAAATCAAAAGTGAGACATTTAACCAACTGAGCTGACCAGGCGCCCCACAAATTTGTTTTTAAAGTCCACAAAGTAGTAATGGTTAAACCATTATGTAACCAATGTTGGGAAGATTTTTTTTAACTTTTCGATATTAAGATTGTAGACTAATTTTGTTCGGTTCCTCTATTCCTGCTATGAATATGCTATAATTCATGAAATAGGTTTAAAGCATTTATATAACCAGAATATAAACTAGACTGTTAGATCTTTTTCTCTTTTTCTCACTGGTATATAATCCCAAGTGCATACAGATACTCAAAAAGTATTTGTTAATTTAAAAAAAAATCAACAAAGAATTTTTTTTTTTAATTTTTTTTTTAAACGTTTATTTATTTTTGAGACAGAGAGACAGAGCATGAACAGGGGAGGGGCAGAGAGAGAGCGAGACACAGAATCTGAAACAGGCTCCAGGCTCTGAGCTGTCAGCACAGAGTCCGACACGGGGCTCGAACTCACGGACCATGATATCATGACCTGAGCCGAAGTCGGACGCTTAACCGACCAAGCCACCCAGGCGCCCCAACAAAGAATTTCATTTTTCAGTTAACCACTTACCTCCATCTTTACCCTTCACAAAACTTTCCCATTCTCTAAACCACTGCATACTGATGCAATAAAAAGTAGCTGGAGAGTCCTCCTCTTGGAATGCTCTGTTTAGCTATGGAAGAAAAAAAATCAGTCACCTAATATCTAAAACTTGTTTTATAGCAGAATACAACCATTCTACTTTAGCATCTGAGAAGGCCAGTTCCTCGTAAAGAATGTGCTGTACATTGATGCTAAGTTATCTTAGTACCACAGTAACACTATAAATAAACAAGTCTAGGTTATGTCTCAAAATTTACAAGTATACACAAAAGGAGAATCAAAGACAATAACTGAAAATGGTCAAGGTAAGTCTTCAAAACAACAAATACTCTACATATTTATTAAAAATCAAATGTGTAAATCTTATTTAAACATATCATATCCACTGTCTACCCTTCACTTCTGTTCACTTAAGATATTAGTGGACATGTTGCTATTACAAACACAATGCTGCAATGAATTACAAGCACAGTGCTGCAAAGAATAATCTTGTACATGTCATTTCACCAACAATATACATATATGTATAGGGCAAATTCCCAAAAGTGGTGGGACAAAAGTCCCTAAAGTTGTTCCATTCCCTCTTCTAAGGCCTAAGGAAATGAGTATGTGACTCATCTAGGCAAAACTCTACTAGAAATGGAAATCTTCAGGAGCGATCTAATGGTGAGAATGAAGTCACTCCAATGTCAATTTTGTTAGCTACATACTCAGAACTAGCCTGGATCCTAAAATTCTGGAGAAGTTGGTTATTCAGTTTTACCTTTTGATAAATTTCTTTTTTTGCTTAAGTTAGCTAATGTGGGCTACTACTGCTTTCAACTAAAGAAGCTGAAATGAGGGGCGCCTGGGTGGCGCAGTCGGTTAAGCATCCGACTTCAGCCAGGTCACGATCTCGCGGTCCGTGAGTTTGAGCCCCGCGTCGGGCTCTGGGCTGATGGCTCGGAGCCTGGAGCCTGTTTCCGATTCTGTGTCTCCCTCTCTCTCTGCCCCTCCCCCGTTCATGCTCTGTCTCTCTCTGTCCCAAAAAAAATAAATAAATGTTGAAAAAAAAAAAAGAAGCTGAAATGATAGAAAAACTAGTATGAAAAGAAAGGTGGAGGCAAAGAGCTTGGGAAAGATGAAGGGTATCTGAAATTTATCTACCTGTATTCGTGTGAAAAGACAGGAGACTCTTAAAAATATTTCATTATGGGTAACTAAATGCCCAAGGTACATACTATTTGAGGACAAAGACAGCCAAATTCAGATAATGTCTCTCCTAGAATCAAATCTAGTAAAACCCTGCCATTATCCCCAAAGATCCTTATAATAGCACAGAAGTACCTCCATGATCTGGCTCCATGATTTGACTTCATCTTCTAATACTTTCTTCATCATGTATTCACTTGTCGTCACATAGACCTCTTTGTTATTCCCAGAACCAAATATTTACATTCCTGCTTCTTAAAGCTTTTACATGGCCATCACTCCTTTTCACGCTTATCTTAAAACCTTCCGCACCTCCTTCAAGTCTTTGCTTACATGTCACCTTCTCAATAAAGGCCTATCTTGATCACCCTTTTTGAAATTGCACCTGACACCTCCCATCATCACTGTACTATGTTCTAGTACACTGTTCTATTATTTTCCTTTTCCACAGAACTCATTACCTTTCAATACATCATGTATTATTTATTTATTAAAGTTATTTGAGGGCAAGGATCTTTCTGGGATATAAGATAGTTGCTTCCACAGAACAATGAAAGGCAATGAAAAACACTGTGGCTGTCTGATGGTTAACGAAGAAATCAAAGTATGTCTGTCTCAAGGTAGAGAATTAAAGTTGGGACTTTCTATGATGCACAATTTATCCCTAGAGAATGGAGATTTCTGAAATGTAATGTCAGATTGATTATACCAATTAAATACACTTAACACATAGCTTTATCAGGTTTGAATACTTTCAGGACTTCATTTTTGGCATTAGGATATTTCTTATGTGTCTAGGTGGGGTTTTTAAAATATTTAGTTAACTACAACCACCTCATTAATTTAAAGATACATGTTGGGGCGCCTGAGTGGCTCAGTTGGTTTGAGCATCCGACTCTTGATTTTAGCTCAGGTCATGATCTCATGGTTTGTGAGTTCAAGCCCCTCATCAGGCTCCATGCTGACAGTGTGGAGCCTGCTTGGGATTCTCTCTCTCTCTCTCTCTCTCTCTCTCTCTCTCTCTC